TAAACAGAACATTACACGGTGACTTGAAAATATGACTTTTATCTTCTCGTGTTAAAAAGAATATTTTACTCACTGTTTTCACCACTCGAAGATAAAAGTCATGTCTTCAACGCGCCGCCGTGTAATATCGATAGTCTATATATCAAATGCCTTTTCTAAAGAGTAAAAACAAAACGTGTTGATTTTATAGGGTCGATTAAACATACTACTATTTGAACCTCTTCTTCGTGCTTACCTATCTTATCTTCTACAACGCAGTTTTACTCACAGCGCTAGCGCTTTAAACTGAACGTCTACTTATCTAGCGAAATATGCGAGACTGATGAACAGAGACTATAAGTGGTCCAAGTCAACTATTTTCGAGACTGAGTGCTTTCGGGAAGGAAGTGCTTTAAGAATTATACCAAATTCTGCCAGTCTAAGATATATTGCCCAAGAGTAAATAAAAGTTATGCTGATGTAAGTTTAAACCAGACCTTTCGGTTTTAAACCTTTACAGTTTAGGGAAAAATAATTTGTAATTGAAACCATACTGCAATATTTTGATAGATAATATACTTTGTAAGACGAATTCAAACTAATAAGCTAGGATAAGTGTTGAATAATTTCACCCGATTAGGTTTGGTAGACAATTGCCACTAAAATACTTGGTTACTGCCCATTACCAATGTCAACTCGTTACAACTATACAATATTTAACCTGTGAAACTCGCTGTGAAAAAGATGTTATCGAGAAACAACTCGCAAATTAATTAAAAGAAGTTGTTTATGTCAAGCTATCGTGTCTATATTATAAACAATTTTGAATTGTGAAACCTAATACATATATCAACACTATCTTTAGTATTGGAAAATTCCTGGATAGATTAATTTTGCATGATGATGTAGGAATTATCTTGAGCCTGGTACTAGGACTCTATATCTATACTGTATAGTGGTGTTAAACAGACTTTTATACTGCCAAAATCCCTCAGACAGTATTGTCACTCAAAAACTTGATAAAACAATGTACTCTGCATAGTGACCTAAAATACTAGTAAGTAAAATTACTCAGACTTATAAGCAAATTTCGACTCAATGTTTTGAGTAAAAATTTACTTTACTCAAAAAAATTAGTAAATTTTCTTATAAATTTGAGTATAATTTTACTCAATATTTTCAGTCACTGTGGGTGAAGTTTTCGAGTTAAAATTTTGCAGTGTATTGGCTTTAACGGCTTTATCACACTTTTTTAGTCAATTTAAATTTTGGTGTTAGCCTTCTATATACCACGGGGGTGGGGGGGTGCACAGTGGGGGGGGGGCATCAACAGAAAGGGACCATACTATACTGAGTGTGGAGAGTTGACGGATGGTTATTGGTGACAAAGGGTTTGGTGTGTGGTGTCGTATGTCAGGTATGTAATAGTAGGTTTTTTTGTATTTTTCCACCCCTAGGACTGCTTTTGTGCGTTTTCTGAACCATATTTTTGGATATACAGTACAGCGTTACATTATACTGCAGATAGATTGCATTTTCAGTTTTTTACCTGCATGGTATGTTTATGTAAATACTACACTCGGTCAGTAACTTGTGTAGCCTAGCCTTCCAACAACTCAAATCTATAAGGTATGGGATATGTTATAATCCACTAGGAAATTTTTAAGATATTTACAACACAGACGTTTAGCATTTTTAAAAAGACATTGTCATTGAAACATTTGAAGGTAAAAGATATTAGACATGACATAAGATTCACAAAGCAAGGTTCAGTTACTAGAATATCAAAGGTCTAAATTCCATTTTTCTTCTGGGGGCATCATAGGGGTTGGGGGCAACATAGTTTAAAAATATATGGCACAAATTAAGAAAGTACGTCAAAATCAGTACTGCACAAAAGTTGGGGACTGTGTTTTAAAAACTGTGACACAAGCGATTATTCTACATACAGTGTTTTGTGAGGAAGATGGGGAAGGAGTCTGAGGGGTGGTCCTCCACCAGAAAATTCAGTTTATATTTTTGATGCATAATGACTGCATTTCTGGCATTTTCGGAAGCATCTACAAGGGAATATATTCTTGGCTCGGGAACTGCACGTATGCGTAAATTTTTTAAAAATGCACACTGAATGGATTTAGAATGCATATTTTGTGCAGAACTGCACATTAGAAAACAAAACCTGGATCAAAAAGCGTGATTTTCTTTGGTTTGCACTTGACGTCATGGCGTTCATCTTGGATTGTTGGAGGAATGCTCACAAAAGAATATCATTAGCAGCTATATAGTATTTGGAGTGTTCTCCTCTAACATCATGGACACAATATTGCAAACAACCTGCAAACAGCCAACGTGTCTATATTTATTGACGTCTAATTTGTTAGAAACATAAAACCAAATTGAACACATTATATACATACTAGGAAGTTGCAGGGCCTTTTTTAACATTTCGTCAGGAGGGGCATCTACAGAAAGGAACCATACTATACAAAGTGTGGAGAGGTAAGAGATGGTAATTTGTGTGGTGTTGTATCGTAGGGAGGTCGGGGGGGGGGGTCTCCCCTACGAAAATGTCGTGTCTTCCACCGATATGCATTTCCTGCGTTTTCTGAAACAGATTTTTGGATATAAAACGTTACATTAATCATTATACTGTAGATAGACTGAATCTTCAGTTAAGTACTCGCATGGTATGTTTATGTAAATACCACAACTCGGTCACTAACTTGTTTAGCCTAGCCTTTCAACAACTCAAATCTATAGGGTCTGGGGTATGCTACCCACTGGGAAAGCAAGCTAAGAAAGCCAAATTTTAGTTGCGTTTCCAGGCTTTCTAAGGGCTTAAATCTTCTATTGTGCTAATATGTTCTGTCGAAAGAAATACTTGCTACTTAAATGTAAACATGAGAAAAACACCTAATTAAACATCCCGTCTCGCTGGGACGACATTGTGTAAATATGGCGTCGTCGATTACGAAACGAATTGCACCTTGTATTTCGACTTTATTAACAGTGTCTGTTTGGATCTTTTTTATGTTTTTTATTTGTTTGTACTTTCCAACTGTGCTGCTCAATATATGTTAGCCTTTGATAGGTCAAATTCGGAAAAACTCTCCATCTCGTCAGGTGAGAAACGTGGAATATTAGAGGATTTAAAGCCTTCATTCTTCAATTCATATGGAAAATTATATCCCACTTGTCACTTGACAGAGATCCCAACTAACAAACGGTGAGATCACACCTAGGGCTAGATTTTTCTAATGTGAATTTTTACATATGCCTTAACAAAGCCAAAGGGCATATTAACCCTTGAAGTGGCAATGATTCACCCTACTTTATTATTTCACTCTGTTTAACACCAGACAATTTTACTTGTCAAGGGGAGAGTGCTGTCTCCAATGAGTTACCATATACTACTTGGATATGTTGTCGTATGAACAAAAATTACAAAATAACTATGAAACAAGGTATTTATTAACCAGGGTGTGTGTGTGCAATATTTAAACCAAATATACTGGTATGCAGATCTCATTCAGGCAAGATTCGTGTTACCTGGGCGCCTATGAACTTCCACTGAAATGATTTTCTTGAAAGTCAGAACATTTTTCAAGAGTGTTAATTACCCAATAATGGCACAGCAACTTTGAAACAATACGAAATTTTTCGCAGGGTTAAACTGTAAGGTTAAATGCCCAGTGTAAGTAGAGACGACAACAGACAGCTCCATAGCTAGACTTTCCAAAGTCCTTTCCAGATTCTTCTCGTGGCGCGCTTCAGTCTATCACGAAGGGCCATCGCTCGAAACGTCGAAGTTCTCAGTTTGTATATTTTCAGACAGTTGTATATCCTTCAAACTGCAGCTGTTTCTCAAAGTTAAACTTAAAAGCAGTTTAGAACATACTTCCACAAAGGATCGGAAAGTCATGGCTTATCAAAATTTTTGATTGAGATTTATAACACCATGCATTAATTACTGCAGTTTTCACTCATTCATTTGGCAAGCCACTCAGTTATCTGATAGTCACAGAGTCATAGCTAATGATTTAATAAGAACTACTTAATTTTGTACAATTGACTATTGTGAAATTTAAGAAAAAAGCATGACGCTTATATATAAGCGCTCTGGAAGAAAATGTAAACGGCGCGCGCGATTAATGCGAATTTATTTTGACATGTTAAAGTGCGCGAGTTTCCCAATAGCACGTGCGTCGTGCGGTTGGCTGGTATATTTAAATTTACACTTTTAATAGGCTATCAGACTAAACACTGTTATGTGATAATTTCGGAAAGATTAAACTAAATTTTCTGTAAAGTCTGTTACCTTCAAGATCATCAGATATCTTTTGACGTTTGAAGACGTTTTCAAAATTGTTGTGGAAAATCAAACACGTTTTCACGATTTTGCCCATGTCTTGAATATTCGAATCCGACTCTTCAGTCTGAGAGTCTTCAGTAGCCGGGTCGTCTGGTAACATCTGTGTAGTCCCTATAACTGAAAACTCCGCAAGATGCTTCTGTAATGGGACAAGCTACAGTAACAGCAGACCGGGAGTCTTTCGATATAGACACTATTATCGTACACCAGCCAATGAAATAAAATATTTAAAATATATCATGATGAATCACTAAAGCGGAGATTCAACGTCTTTCATTGAATTTAACTGCCAACTGCCAACGGACTGGTATCAAATTGCAATATCCAACCACGCAGTGTCAAAGGTTAGCCAATACGTTTTCCGTTTGTCTCGTCAGATTACGTGCAGTGCTTTACTGGTGTACGTGATAATGTCAGCAGCAATTTCGATTGTTGTATGGTTTAACTTTGTGACAGTCTAACAGAGATCAAATTTTCGACCAAATTACCAGCCGAACGTTCAGTATCACATGAGTGACATGACTAATTAAAGCCTTAGCATGCAACTTCAGTCCTCTGCACTTGTGTACACATACCTTGGTTTTGTTGGTTCCGTTTCTGAGTAAAAATAATATTTAGTATAATCATGTGAAGATTGATTAAAAATAAGCCATGTTTTAATACAGTAAATAAGCATTTGAGTAGAGAAATTTGGAACCGCAATACATACAAAAGCTATGCACGCAAGTTAAACGGCGCATAGTTAAAGGTAGGTTACAGTCGCATCTGCGCATGTGCTGGACTTTTGTTTATGTGGGGACACACAGGAAGTTGTCATCCTGTGTTTGTGCTCGGTCCAGTCTCATTTCTGGCAATAACACGCGCGTTGTTTTTATCGCAATTGAATTTAATGCCCAAGGAGCGAAGAAGTTTCCAAAATATTTTGAGATTTTTTGAGCGACAGTCCGTCAAATAACGAGTTATTGAGGCAACATGACGAGTAGGAAAGGATACTACGCTAACAGGGATGCTTCGAAAGTGTATCAAAGTGTATCTATTTTATTGTTTTCCTCGATGGAGAGCGCATTCCATTTCTGCGTCTGCCCATGAATGGCCATGATATACCTGCATCCTCAAGCTTCTACCAAAGGTTGTCAAGAAAAGAATCCTAGAAAGATTGGAGATTGCTCCAAACATAGCTGCAATGTTGATCCTTCAGAGAAATCGCTTGTTGAAGCCCATCAATCGAGGTTTTAATGACTATAAAATTTTCTTTATTACACTATTTCACTATCGTTAATATATACGAACTGTTTATCTATTTTGTTTACAAACTGAAACACATAATATAATTATAAAGGCCTAAAGATATGATACTCGAGACTAGTGAGTTGTCGATGAAAAAATAATGAACAATTTGGAGTGAACATGTTTGGGACTTTGGGGATGGCTGTTTATATAGAGTCATGTTATTGTCACTTGTCAGAGTGATAATCTACTTGGCTGTGGCAGTGATTTACTGTCTTTGACTGTCTGCTCATGGACAACTTGTGCTCACTTAAAACTTAATAGAAACACATCAAAAAGTTTCTCTGATCAAAGCTAAAGTAGATTTTAATTTGATCAAAGCACATAACAGTTTAAATGCCTTTTAGTTGCTCTGAAGTTACAGTACTTGACCTAATGGGGTGTTTATATGGAGGCAAGCCAGCTCTCGGGTGCCTGAGCTAGCTCGCTTGGCCGAGATCTAATGTTGCTAGATAATTTATACTAATATTCGTATTGTGTGTATATGAAAACCAGGCTTGTTTGCCTAAGCAAGATCTTGTTTGATTTGTGAAGCCCGACAGAGACCCAGATCTCGCCTAGGTTGGCTGGTTTGCCTAAGCCGCTCAATACAAATATATTGTACTAATTGTAGTAAATAAGACTTTCTCAACAGATTTTTTATCTATAATTTTATAAATGAATGCCTCTGTGAACAGTTGTGACGGTCATAACCATGACAGTTTCTCGTGATGATTTGTTTTGGTGCCAGCCTGCTACATGATGAAATTAGCTAGGCAAAGCCACCTAGCTCAGGTAACTGGGCTGGCTTGCTTCCATATAAACACCCCTAAGACATTTAGTTTATAAAAGATTTTGATCACAAATACTTATATGATGTAAACAAACTCAACTAATAATTACTAGTAAGTATATTTTCCACCCTAATTGTAAGTAAAAGCTTGCATATAAGAACCTGTATAAGGGTCTGTCAGGCTAATTTTTCAGTATTTAGACACCCAATCTGTTTAGGCTAGTATTTCAGGTTCTTATTTTATCACATGGAGACCAGTCAGATCTAAAAATGTATAAAAATCAAAGAGAATAAACTCTTCACAAAGTAATGAAAATGATCCAGAACCCTGAAAATGTCATTGAGATAAATAAAGTGTAGCTTTGCAGTGCATACAGCTTTGTATAAGTGCATATATACTGGCATTTTTAGATGATCATGACTGATATAGTTATAACTATACATGTCTTGTCCAAAAGTGGGGTCTGGGGGTTTGAAATCAGAGCTTTCTTTCTCCTAGATGGATTGCCAGCCAAGGCTTATGAGCTCCATCTACACAAAGGAATCTGATTTTAAGGTGCCAGACACTTGCCAGTTCATATTGTACTATAATTGCCTGATTTTGTGTCACAAAGAGTGGCACCATCCCATTATCTATGTTGCCAGAACAGGCTGCTGTGCATGGTCTGTTTTGGGACAAAATTAGACAACACAGTAAAACCCTGCGAATAAGAACCTAGATTTTTTCCAAGTTAGCCTAAACAGGTTCTTATGTACAGGGTCTGAAATATATTTTAGTATCCTGATATCCACAGGATACCAAAAATTTGATTTTGGATACCAAATTATGAATAATACTATCCTGACTGGATACTAAAAAATTTCCTTTGATAGGCTCCTGAAAGTTTTTGAATATTATCAGTTTACCACCAGTCTTTCCTCAATGAGGACTAGCATATAGAAGTTTGTTGAAGGATTATGTGGATTAATTGTTTATTTGTTGTTGACTGTGGAGTCTCCTCAGTTGTTATTGTAATTTGTAACAGTGAGTGTTATGGAAACTTATTTGGATGGGATAGGATATACTAAACTTTGAATCTTGGTATCCCCTTTGGATACTGAGAAAAAATATAAATTTCAGACCCTGATGTAAATGGTGCTTATCTGATTGTTCATGTTACAAACTGTAATTATATTTAGTAGCTATATTCAGTATTCTCAGGGGGCATATAAAGGCTATAAATAAAGCCCTGGAGTCATGTTTGTGCTTTACCCCTTGGAGTTCTCCTTTAATGTCTGTATATATACATATTACCATATAACCCAATAAATCTGTTAAAGAAAGATTCGTTGATGTAAATCAAAATTTCATCAGTGTTTCCTGGGCATTCTGATGAGCTCTGATATCGAGCGAAACAAGCATATATTTGGCAATTGTCCTCCGTCTTGAAGAGACATGATGAAGTAACCTGATCACCAGAATTGTTGAAGCTAATATTAGATCATTCAGTGTCACAAGAATATCATCATTTAGTGTCAATATGAGAGTAATATCAATGAATTCATACTTCCAGTTCATAATTTCAAAACATACATTTTTATAACACAAAAAAGTTGAATATAATCTTAGCGTCTCGTACTCTCGTCACTGTCAATCTATTCAACTCTTCTGTTGTCTTCTTTATAACGAAATCATCTCCATAGCACGCACGAGCTTGAACAAAAGCTGTTTATCCAGCTTTTGCACGGTCAAAAATTTCGCCCTTGGCTTTGCCACGAAGACAGGAACTCTGCAGTTCACACTTGTTTCGAATTTCGTCAAGCGAAAAGCTTTCCCCAAGCGCTTCTGTCATAATGACAACAACAACACTGGCAACATGTTTCGATGGATTGATACCGCATTAACTATTTTCATGATGAGACACAAACTCCAAATGTAAACACAAATTATTCGAACTCACACCTTCGCGATTTCGGTTCGCCGCCCCAGCTGTTGATATAGCAAGTCACACAAGGTTCAAAGTGGCTTCTTTATAACTTTATTCACGATGTTTACAGTTAAACAGTTACAGTATAAGATTGTGTTATTGTGTACAAAAATTTCCAGTGTAGAAATGTACAAGAAATGAAGCGAAGTATTGTTAAACATTGCACTCCTCGGTCACAAATTATGTGGAATGTTACTTTGAACTCGTCATATACTTCATCTTATATAATTAATGTGGATCAAAACAAAAAACGTAAACAAAGTCCAGCGCATGCGCAGATGCGACTGTAACCTACCTTTAAGA